GCCCCCGGCGTCGAGTTTGTGGTCGACTCCGAAGGGCAGTATCAGGCCTCGGTGCGCTGGATCTCAAGGAGGACAGAAGCCTTAATGAAACACTTGCAGAGCAACAACATTAAACTGTTACTGTCGAGCGTGAAGCAAGAGGAAGTAGTTATCTACTATGCAAAATTATACGGTGTGTCTGTGGTAGAGAGCTTATCGTCGGAAGAAATGGCCCTTATCTGTGAAATCACAGGAGTCTCGCCTTACGCTCCTTTTGGTGATAACGTACACAAAGAAATCACTGAAATTGCAGTGGCAACGTTCTGCCAGCCCTTGCTGCTCGGCTCAAAGAGATGCGTTCACATCGGCTTCACCAGTGTGTGCGCCTTTCAGCCCCATTGCCTAATTCTTTGTGGGCCGGTCGATGGTGTTAATGAGCAACACGCTGCTGCTTTACAAGGGGCGTTTACAATGCTGCAGCAGCTATTTAAAAGAGTTCATCAGAGAGAGGAATGCAAAGCAGAAGGTGAAAGCCAGAACAAAACCGCAGATGTTTGCAGCTGGCATTCTTCAGCTACTCAGAAGCAACTCGTAACAGAAAATATTTCTTGTAACAGTAGTCAGGTTTCTGAAGGACAGCTGAAAACACAAAGGGACGAAACAGAGACACAAATTGTAGACCCTGACTTGCAGGGAAGTGAAAATCCAGCATGTGTGCAAACAAACTTGCAAATACCCTCAAATCCCATCTCAAACATCAAAGAATTCAGTGTTGCCATTGAAGGAGATGGCTCTTCAAGAGACTTACAGAAACCCAATGCAAAATGCGAGCATCCAGGTGACGTGCAGGAGAGCTATAAAAGTGATTTATTTGTGGACAATCAAAGCAGTTACAGCACTGCTGTATCAGCAGCACATGATGCTAATATAGTCATTGCGTGTGAACACCTATGTGTTGGCAAAGATCTAGAGAAAACAAGTTGCAATATAGTCCCATTTCAACATGAAAAGAGTTGTGTAAGTGTTGCACAGAATTATTCGGACTCCCTCATAGAAGCAGGATCAGTTTTGCCAGTAGGAGGTTACTTTGAAGTCCTGTTACATTATTACATTCAGTACTATGCAAAAGACTTTCAGCAGTCAGAGGTAACTGTCGTATCTAATGTAGTTGCCGATGCTTTGCTAAGTATTCCCAAGTCCTTATACAGGACAACAGGACGGAACAGCTTTACCAAATTCTATCTCAAAGCCGTAAATGCACTCAGAAAAAATCAGCCACTGCCTATGACCGAGAAGGGCTTAGAATTGGTGTATTGCAAATACCAGTTAGTCATTTCAGTTCTTCATTGTGTTATGGACCTTCTCTCCATAGATTTGATAATTGGTGTTAAGCGGCCACTGCAGAAAATTGAGGATAACAACTTGGAAGATGACTTCTGAAATTTTTAATAAAGAATGTTTTGATTATGTGTTTTCTCATGTCTCCTTGTAAAATGGACATGTTACAAAATTCAGTGCTAGAGACTACAAGATACCTTTTTAGGCCTAGAGACCTAACGTGCTTCTTTTCTCTTAGAAGAAAAGGAAGAAAAAGGATGACCAGCTGAGATTTGTGGAAAGGTGGGTTGTGAACAGCACAAACTTGACATTTCAAACATGAGAAAGCGTAGCCGATTTCCACTGCAGAAGATCTGCAATGTCTTTTCCATCCACACGCGGAGGATCCTGTGTACATTCTAGCCAAGTGTGAACTTTGCCTCTTCCAGAGGTTTGAGTGTTTATGCAACTTGGATGTGATTAGTTTTCCTCACACGTTAAAAGTTGCCAGTACGACATGAGCCACTGAACTTGCCAGTTGGAAGCAAGGAGTTTTTTTAGCCTTGGTAATAGGCTGGATCAAATGTTATTTTAAATAAAAATAATTTTGTATATATTGTGGTTTTGAATGTGATGGGGAGAATATAACTTGTTAGCCTGTTCAGCGCTGGGGCAGGCAGTGGTGGGCCACTGCAGTATATCCCAATGAAGGATTTTCTCGTCTAGTAAGAGACGAGACGTTTTTATCTTCCTTTAAGCTCACTTCAGTCAAACTAGTAGAATTAAGAATAATTTCCTATCATGACTGGCTAGTATGTGCTCTGGCAAATTAATTTGTGTGACATTACTGAGTACGACTTCATTTTAAATACCCTGGGTTGAGTTGTGGTGCTCCTATAAAAGGCTGTGTAACCATGGGAAAAGCTTACACAGACAGTAACGCAGTTTTGTGTGAAAAGCCTGAGGCAATGTTTCAGCTCAGACCTCGATTGTTTGGGATTTTATTCTGGGGGTTGTTTGATGGGTTTGTTCTTTCTTTCTTTTATTCTTTTTCCCCCCCCCCCATTTTCACCCTAATGCAGTCTGCTTTAAGCTCAGTATCACCTGTATGTCAATATACTTATTTTTCTGCTGTGTCTTAAAAAATCCTGGTTTGGTGTGGGAGGTTTTGAGTAACTAAACAGCTGCAGCTGATAATGGTATCACGTTGGTTCCGCATGTGCCATTGCCAGTATTGCACATTTAGAAAAACTGAATTTTCTTTTTTAATCTGCTGTTAAGTAAAATTTAGTGAGGATATTTAAAATCACAGGCACAAATCATATTTCTGCTATACCTGGGATGGTTACAGCTGGAAATTAGATTCTTTTCCCATTAATTTATGCTGTTGCTTTCCCTTTTTTGGTTTCTTTGGAAGAGTCCGTCTCGCAAAGTTATTTCAGGTGTTTTGGCAGCAATGCTTTGTTTGACTACAACGTTCTGTTGAAAGTTTATATGTATTCTTGGTAATATAAAGCATTTTAATAATATTTTTTTTCCTGACTGGTACACTCTTATAAACATCTGCATACAAAAAACAGTGAAACTCAGTGTTCACTAGAGTCATTTCTTTAATGAAGACCTAGGGGCAGTAATTCTTTTTTTCAGAATCATTTTTGGTGAGTGCAGAGGAGAGGGAGAATTTAACATGGAGGAGAGGAAAGAAACATCACATTCTTGCTGTTCCCACATGCTTTTGGTAGCGACATATCCATATGAGCGAAGAGAAATCTCCGTTGTGGAAGAGCTGGTGTTTCGGAGCTGCGTGCCCTGCTTGCCCGGACAGCCTCGGGGCCGCTCGGGAGCTTCTGTCAGCCCTGGCGTTTCAGCAGGCTCTTGGGTTCTATATTTTAACTTTGCAATGAGCTGCTGAGAGAGTTTCGCTCTCGCACAAGTTTCTGTGTACTCTCTTCAAACTGCTGACCTACTCGCTGGCCAAAGATTGGAAGGTTCCTTCGTGGTGGTCTGACAACTGCGGCACAGAGCACGTGAAGCCTGGCAGCAGTGGGGGTTGTCTGCAGAAGCTACTTTTGTATTGTGAAGCTAGGTATTCTCTAAAAACAGTTAAAATAAAGAGAATACTGTATCACTTCACATTGTTTTATACTATTTGCACATCTGCACACTTTCAGTTTTACTGCAGCTCCTTGAAAATGGTTAAAACAAAAATATTTTGTTACGTGAATGGCCTTCTGGCTGTTTGATTTAAATTATGTCATTGAGAAGAAGAAAGTCCAAAAATTTTATCCTATACAAACCCCTTATTTTTGTATGTCAGAAATACAAGGGAGAATTTAGAAATTACGATTGTGTAAAACTTCTTTTTCTGGCCGGTTTCTGGTGAAGCCTCTCAAGTCTGAAGGCTCATGGAGTCAGGTGCTATGTTTCATTGACTTCTCTTTCATACTTTGTGAATGATCAGTTTTCCCTTTTGAACTACTGGTTTTCTATTTCGTATGGAGAGCTGAGGACATGGCACGCCTTTCCCTTGGAGAGGAATGTCCCCTCTTTGTTCTGGACTGCTGCGGAGGATGCTTGTTCAGGACCTGGCTGTTTGGTTTCCAGTCCTGGGGTCTAAGCACGTTACAAGGTGCACACCGGCTTAAGGAGAAAAAAGGCATTAACTTAGTCTTTGGGGAAAAGAGCAGATTTACTTCTGGATTCAGCTCTTTCTTACCTTTAGGAGTCTTCTCCAGTAATTAGCCTGGCAGTGTAATCGTGACCTAATCTTAGAAAATATTTTGGATTTGCTGTCCCATCTACTGTTAGAGAGAAGGGCTGTTGGTGGCCCTGAGAAGCAGCACAGCCTGTGTGCTGGGCTGCAGCTCCGGAGCCGTCAGAGCCGTTTCTCCTCTGCTGATGTTTCCAACCCGCTACAGCAGTTGCCCTCCGGTTGCGGAGGCTGTGGTGACCCCAGTCACCCCACTCAGGCTGTTACTGCTCGTTGGTACCTAAGCCTTCGGCAGGAAGTTATTAATGACATCTTGCAGCTATCCCAAATTTTAAAGCTATATATAAATGTTACTTGGCCTTTGACAGGTGGCCTGGGGACAATTCTAAAAGTGATCTGGTGACAAAGTGGCAGGGACAATGAGGTCACCTGGGGCAGCTTGGAAGAACGTGTTTGCTCAGTCAAAACCGCAGGGAGTGGTATGTTTGGGCATGCACTAAGGTTGTAAAAGCCTATGGGTTTTTTTTATTGCACTATTTCCCAGAGATTATTTCTATTTTGTGCTATTATTCTATTATTTTTATATTTCTAAACATGGATTGGCCTCCACACAAAGTGAAAGTCAGGTGCATGTGGGCATGTGTGTGGACTCAGGTCCAAACTCGAAACACAATGTAAAGCACAGAGATACTGGTGGTAATAGCCTAAAATTAAAAGAATGTTTTTAGAAAAATCTTGATGTTTCACTCTCCTTTCTGCAGCCCCTAGCAAACCTATTTTCTACCTCACATGAAACCCATCAGAATATTTTAAAGGCGCTCACGGAGCCACAAGGAGCGTGGGTGTATTCCGAGCAGGGTAATCTCATTTGTCAGGTAGCAGATTCACATATACAGGCAGGTAGTTTATTTTTTTAAAATTAAAAAAGAAGCAGTTTTTGAGACGCATGTATAGTAATGTATAGTGAGACTACTGTGCTATTCCCAGCTCTTGGGAGTGGGAATAATGAATTTACACAACGAGGACGCACCGTTTTTGTTTGTTGTTTTGGGTGGGGCTCGAGTCTCAACAGACTCGGAATCCAAGTGCTGGGATGGCACTGAGGCAGCCGCCCTTCCCCAGCGCTCCCACCACTGCCTTTCCCCATTGCCTGACCCCGGCAGCGCGCCGCTCAGCACCTTCCTCCGGCCCTTCTCATTGACCTCCAGCATCACCAGCTCCCCAAATGGGTGTTGCTTCACTTTTTTAGTGGAAGTTAGGCAACCTAAATAGGGCCTTATATTTTTGTCCATGCTTAGCTGGTTACTGACCTCTAGCCTTTTTGGCAGCTGTACAGAGAGTGTCGCTAACAGGAACCAGTCACAACAAAGAGTATTCCTCTGTTGTGTCACAAATCACACACTACTGAATCACGTTTCCAAGAGGGATTAGGGATATGCAATAATTTGTTTAAGAGCGTAACTGTATAGTGGCATAACTCTGGTAATTTGATATTGTTTCTGTTGTTATCTTTATAACAGTCATCTTCCAGAGTCCACAGGTGGGTGATTAATCATACCACGTGAGAAAATTAAGGAAGATTAAATTCTTCACTTGCATGTATCTCCTGGACTTCACTAGAATTGTGTTCATCTGAGCCTGTGCTTAATTTGCTTTTTGTTGTGTAACAAATCTGGTATTAGTGGGAGAGACTTCAATTTTTGATTACTAAATTTATTTCTATTTTAAGTTAATTTGTCCCCTTTTGTCTTTTTTTGGTGAGGTTCTTTCAAATCTCATATTAAGAGGGAAGCTATCTAAACGTTCAGTTGCAAAATTCTCTGTAGTTTAATTATCTTGAAAACTAAGAAACCTTTTTTTTTGCCACCAGTAAAACCAAAAATTTAAATACTGCTTTATTTACTCTGCTATTTATTGCATTATTACTATTAAGACTGAACAAGTCGAGAGAGTAATGTCTGAATTTGTAAACAGTAGCTTTGGAAATGTGTTGGCTATAATTAACACGATTATAATTTTGCAGTAGTGTTTTGTGTAAGGCGTCATTTGTATTCTGTTAATGAAACTAGAAATAGATGTTTGGATCTAGGATTATACAAATTACTTCCCTCTGAGAATATTAAGCTAATAATTACTTCCAGGAATAAGAATTTTAATTTTAGCATTCCAAAACTAAAAATAATGACAGCAAAAATGTAATAGATTTAATATGTAGTAGCTCCTTCTTTATTATATGATTCAACAGAATACTAGACTTTGGAAGCGATGCTTATTCCTGTGGTAGTTACAGCAATGCACTCTTTTTACAAACAGTTCTGGCAAAAAGAACACAAAATAGTTTTCCATAAGAAAACCATTCCTGTTTTTTTTAGATAGTTTGTTTCTTATGAAATCATGTCGTGGTTTAAGCCGG